CAATACAAAGTGCTGGTTATGACTGAAAAAGCTGTATGGCTATAAGGATCCAGGTTATCTGAAAAACTGTATTTTCTCATATTCCCATGTGAGCCTTCCTGTCCGACAACTCTCACAGATACATCTGGTGGGAACATGAGAGACAGCTTTCTCAGTGGCTGCTTCCAGGCTCTGGAGAGAGAGGCTAGAGTGGTGCCCTCCATGGTGTCCTTATGGTGGTAGGCAAAAACTTTTTTGTTTGGAAATCTTTGGGAACTAACTGGTCATGGGGAAAGACCTTTAAATAATGTGCTGCACCAACTATATACCATATTTTCCGGCGTATAAGACGACTGGGTGTATAAGACGACCCCCCAACTTTTCCAGTTAAAATCTAGAGTTTGGGATATACTCGCCGTATAAGACAACCCCTCTTCCAACACACACCAAATATTTTTTTTAAAAAAAGAACCCATGAGATTTGATTTCAATTTGATAATTTTAATTCAAATGCTCATGGCATACAAGTACAGTGGTACCTCACTTACGAATGCTTCATCTTACGAAAAATTCAACTTACGAAATGCGCCTCTGAATAAATTTTGCTTCAACTTACGAAATTAATGAAACTTTTTTACTGTACATTTGTATTGAGTTGTAGCTTGAATCTGGGGGCCTGGAACGGATTAGGCCTTTTCAATGTTAAATTTGCTTCAACTTACGAAATTTTCTACTTACGAAATGGGCTGTGGAACGGATTAATTTCGTAAGTAGAGGTACCACTGTACTTAGCAGGAAAACTGTCACTTATAAACGCAACGAACTACAGCTCCCATGTTCCCTAGCATTTATTTCTGCAGTGTGTTTTGGACCTTACTTTTTAAAAAATATTCCAGATTTAAATGCTGCTTTAAAAATTATTTCCATCTCCCAGCTATGAGAGGGTTGGGGGGGGGGGAAATGAGAAAGTGTTTGGGGGAAGAACCGGCAATATACTGGGTGATACATTCTGGGCTATGTACAATCTGTAGCCAAGGAAGTTGACCGACATGTCATACACTCTCAGCCTCAGAGGATGGTAATGGCAACCCCCCTTTGAAGAAACATGCCAAGATAACCCCATGATAAGGTTGCCTTAGGGTCGCCATAAAACGAAAAGGACTTGAAGACACACAAGAACAACAAAAAAGTCTGCAATTATTTCATAGGTAGCACATGGGAATACAAGCCAGCATGGTGTAGTGGTTTGAGTGTTGGACTACCTTTCTGGAGATCTGTGTTTGATTCACCATTCTGAAATGAAACCCACTGAGTGAACTTGGACAAGTCACACTCTCCCAGCCTTGGAGAAAGCAATGGCAAACGCTTTCTGAACAAACTTTGCCAAGGAAACCCCAAGATAGGTTTGCCTTTCAGTTGCCTGAAGTTAGAAACAACTTGAAGACACACAACAGCCACCACCACAACTGCATTTTTGGAAGTCACACTCACTCAGCCTTGGGAAAAGCAATGACAAATGTTTTCTGAACAAACCTTGCCACCCTACAAGGGGGCTTCCCTGCCCCTCTTCACCTCCTCCTCCTCCTCCTTCTCCCATGGGGGGGCTTTTTCTGAGGGGAAGGGAGGGAGGAGGGAACGGAGGAAAGAAAGAAGGGAAAGAAGGGGGGAAAGAAGGGAGGGAAGGAAGCTGAGGCCTTCCCCTGAGGCTGAGTGAGTGTGACTTGCCCAAGGCCACCAGTGGGTTTTTAGAGGGCAAAGGAGGGCAGCCCAGCCCAGCAAGGGAGGAAGGGAGAATTACCTCACCTCATCCTGCTTCCTCCTCCTCCTCTTCTCGGAGGCCATGCCAGCAATGCCTCCACCTCCTGCTCCTCCCTGATTTTCCTGAGGGTGTGGCCCAGCCTGGTGAGTTGAGAGGGAGGAGGAGGAAGACAAAATGGCTGTCACACTGAGAAGGGAGATAAAATGGCCGCTGGGCAAGCAGAATTCTTTCTCTTACCGGCGTATAAGACGACCCCTGACTATTGGGAAGCTTTTCTGGGGTTAAAAAGTTGTCTTATACACTGGAAAATATGGTATTTTCTTTTGTTGGCATGTTTCCACATTGCTTTTAATTCTATTGTTAGTTTAATTGTATTTTAATGTTTGTATACTTTAGTGTAGGCTTGCATAACATATGGCCTGTGGGCCTCTGGCGGCCCTCCAAAGGATTTCTGGTGGTCCATGGGAAAGAGCCAGGAGGAGGAGGAGGGTGGGGGGAAGAGCTGAAAGGCACGGCGGAACTGCTGGGGAGGAAGTGGAATACGAGAGGAAAGAGGCGGCTGGAGGGGGAAGGGAGGCGCCATATTTTTGTGTCACACAATCTCAGGGACTGCCTCTCTCCCTGCCTCCTCCTCCTTCTCATTGCTCCTGCCTGGCTCTTTCACCAGAGGCCCTGGGGAAGCTGGCCTTGGGTCAGGTGAGAAGGAGGAAGAGGAGGAGGCTCGGCCCTAGCCCAGAAAGCCCTTTCCCCCTCCTGGCCTCGGGGAACCTATCACACCAGCCCTCCTTCCCCTCCAGGTCTCTAGTAACCTGTGTGGAGCTGCCACAAGCCATCTGCCTCCTTCCTTCCAGAGTCTCCAGGCCATGAGGTCCTCCTCTTTGCTGCTCTGTCTGCCTTGGCAACTGGAAGGTGCTGGAAAGCCAGGTGAGGCCCCGCCAGGCCTGGGGATGCATCTGGTTCAACACCAAAGAGGAGGAAGGCTGTTTGTGTTTGTGTATGTGTGTAGTGGGTTTTCTCTCTCCACTCTTTCTCCTCCGCCTCTGCCATTTGGCCTCTTTCAGTTGTCACTCATAGACCTTGTGGTGGAAGCCCCTACTTGGACTCAGGAGGCAAGGAGGAGGTGCCAAAAGGGAGCCCAGGGGAGGCTGAATGTTGTTTCTTTAACTCACCCCAAACCAACACCTGCAGACTGTCCCCATCCAGGGTGGGCAAATGTCCTCACCACCAAGGAGGACCAGGCACCACAAAATGTAAGGCGTTTAAGGAAAATGGAGGACATGACCAAATAACAGCTTAAAAAATCATCCAACTCATGCTTCTTAGTCATGCTCAAAATGTTATTGGGAATTCCCCCTGGAAGGAAATTAATGAAATGAAGGCAGGTCCTGGAAGATGAGGAGGCCAAGTCACCCTGAATGCAGGGTATTCAAGAAAAATGTAGATGACTAAAGAAAAGCTAAAAACACTTAGATACATATCAATACATGCTTTTTTGTCATGCTCAAAATAGAGGAGGTGGAAGAGGAGGAGGAGGAGCAGTAGCAGTCAGGAGTATCAGCAGAAGGGCCAGCAGGCAGGCTCCCCAGATGCTCATCCTCTCCTCCTTCTTCTGGCAGTCTGGCTGGGTTGGGCAAGTCACATTTTCTCAGCCTCACGGGAAGGCAATGGCAAACCTATTCTGAAGAAATCTTGCCAAGAGGAGCAGGAACGCCCCTCCTTCCTGCCACAGCCCCTTGGAAATGGACGGGGAAGAGGGTGGCGCAGGGACTGGAGTCCAGATCTGCACTGCAGAAATGATCTGGTGTGGCATCACTTTAACTACAAGGGCTCCATGGTACAGGATCCTGGGGTTTAGTTTGTGTGGCCTCATAGCGGAGCCCCTGAGAGAAGTGGGGAGCTCTGGTGCCCCAAAAAAACACAATCCCCAAGATTCCATAGCTTGGAGCCCTAGCAGATAAAGTGGTGCCAAACGGTGCCTTCCTCTTCCTTCCTCCTCCTTTTGGTGTTGCTGCCGTGGAGCCTGGACCTGGGAAGGGAGCAGGAGCAGGAGGAGAAAAAGCCCAGCCACCACCCCCAGGTGGGGTTCCGCATGGCAGATCATGTGCGGGAACCCAGCAGATGAGACACCAGGAGGAGTGGCTATGTTCGGAGAGGTAAAGGATGCGATCAAATGGCCATGGCCGCCCCCTTTCCCCCAAGCTAGTGTGTGGGGGGGAAAGGGGGTGACTGCCAGAGACTTTGTTTTCTGATCTGCTTTGCAAAGAGGAATCTGAGGCTGCATCCGCACTGCAGAAATAATCCGATATGTCAGTATTTTAACTGTCCGGATTCCATGCTGTGGAATCATGGGAACTGTAACTGGTTGTGGCACCAGCATGGAGCCCGGGTAGTTAAAGTGCTGTCAAACCGGATTATTTCTGCAATGTCCATAAGGCAGCAGAAGGCTTTCTCAGCATGTCAATTATTGGGGACTTGAGATGGAGGGGTGGCAGTGGACAGAGAATCATAATAACCAAATTGTTGTTGTTTGTCCAGGAAAGGGGCCAAGTATGCTGATAGCCATAGTCAAAGCAACACAAAACAAAATAGTGTGCAGAGCTAATGCAGTCAAGAGTTCTGTGCACACAAACAGTCATAAAGAAAAAGTCTCGTAGCAACAAACCAAGGGTACAACCAGAGGAAGTTCAGGGTTCCAGAGAGCAACAAGTCATGTAAGCAATCCAAGGTCAAGGAGTCCAGAGAGGCAAGGCAAACCAGCAATCCGACTGTCAACTTTCCAGCCGAGAAGACAAGGAGAGTCAGGAAGCTCAGATAATCTCTGACAACTATGCTGGCGTCCGGCACCTATTTATATTACCAGACCGCAGGTGCTCAGCTGCTGTTGATTGCTTGGCCTTGAGTGCCAGAGGTCCTCTCTTTCCACTCTTTGTTGATTGAAGATAGGTACAGTCCGTTCTCCCTTCTCCGTGCTTGAAGGCTCTGCTGCACAGACTCTGCTGGAGCTGGCAGGGCAGAACTAGGGCCAGACTCAGCTTCAGGCTCAGGTCCACGTTTAGGTTTTAGCTCAGCCTCCTCATCCTCAGAGTCTTCAGCCAGGTTGGGCATGACACTGGGCATGACGTTGTTGTGTGCCTTCAAACTGTTTCCAACTTATGGAGACCCTATCATGGGGTTTTCTTGGCAAGATTGGTTCAGAGAAGGTTTGCCATTTCCTTCTCCTCAGGCTGAGTGTGACTTGCCCAAGTTCATCCAGTGGGTTTCATGGCAGAGCAGGGAATCGAACTCAGATCTCCAGAGTGGTAGTCCAACACCCAAACACTACACCACGCTGGCTCCTATTCCCATGTACTGCCTATGAAATAACTGCAGATTTATTTATTTATTTTTTGTTCTTGTGTGTCTTCAAGTCCTTTCCAACTTATGGTGACCCTAAGGCAACTTTATGGGGTCTTTTTGGCAAGTTTCTTCCGGGGGGGGGGGTGCCATTATCATTCTCGAGGCTGAGAGTGTATGACATGCCCAGGATTACGTACTTGGCCTCAAAGTGTACATATCCTGGAATGCATCACCATGTGAATTTATATTATTGTTTTTAACTTTTATTTTGTAATGTTGCCTACATTTTTCTTGAATATCCCACATTTTGTGGTTTCTTTTCTTCCATTCTGGTTATGACATCTGGTCATCCTGCTCAAGGCTCCTCCACTGCTTGACCTTCTCCCAAGAAAGAGCAGGGTGGCAGTGGTGGAGGATGGAATTAATATTAATAATGTTAATAATTATTAATAATTTATTATCATAATTAATTAAAACCTATCTGCAGCCCAAAGAAGTTAGGCAATTTTGGCTCCTGCCTACTTCCAAGTTGTGCAGGTCTGCCTTAGTGATATGAACTGTTGCATGCACCTATTTTAATTTTATAAGCCACCTTAAGCTCCAGGGCTGGAAAAATGTAGGAAGAAAATAAATAAAATAAACCTAATTAACTCTAGTCAGATATCATCCGGAGAGAAAGATGGAATATTAAATAAATAAGCAAATAAATAAATAACAATTGGATAGTGGTTACAAAGTTAAATGCGCTTCTTATCTGGCAAAGGATTCCTTTCCAAATAAAAAGATCTTATCCTGCATACAGAATTGAACATATTTTCATTTTTTTAATGCACAAAAGGAGCTGCTGAAACAATTTCAGTATGACAAATTGTGATGAAATTTGAATCTGTACAGATGACAGACAATTATAATGACTGTATAATGACTGTATGGATTACTTGTAAAGCCCTTCAATTGTGGACCTCCACTGGTACTGAAGCTGCTATTTATGAAAACATTACCGCACAGTAACAACAAAATTCAAACTATCAAATAGGATCTGATCACCAACTACTATGACACCTACCACTGGCTTTTACTGTGGACTCAATCTTGCACCCAGAAGACCGTAGATGATTCAACTGCATGGTCACAACACTTGGAACTGAAATATTACTCCAGAGAGCCCACTTCTGTTACAATGAGTAAGTGATGCATAAGCTTTCATCGTCACTATTGTAATGACGCCAATCATTCTCTCTGGCACTCCAACAAATAATTCAGTTTGTGGCATTAAATCTGTCTCTCATTGGGAGGGGCAAGCAGAAAGCAACACTCATTCAGAACTTGCTCCATGTTTCCACATTAATGCTCACGACTGGGCTCAGTGCTAACACAGTCTGGCACTTTTCGAGATAATCTTTCTCTGTTGAGAAAGTCTCTGGGATCATATATAATAAAAGTCTGTGAAATATGCATTCGGCAGAGGAGGACTGGCTGCACTGGGTAAGATGCGTAAATGCAGAGGCAACAAATGTCAATCTACCTCATTATAATAATATGTGCTACATTCGGGTTTTTGTTTTTTTGTTTTTTTTTGGAATGTAATAAAAAGGCAGATGGGAGATAGTCTCTGAGCTTTGCTGCTTAAAGTGGCACAGCCAAGCACTTTGCTGTCAGACATAAATCTCTTTATCAGTTCCCTTGTACTATTACAACACTATAATCAGTGCAACCATCTTCTGAATGGGCCAATTAAACATTGCACAAAGATGCTTATAGTTTAATTTCTGTGAAATCTCATCTGTTTGCAAAACTCTTTTAAAAGCTTGAGAACAACGTTCTTGTCTCTAACAATTACAGTTCCTCATGTTTTAGTCTGGAAAATAATATGGTTCCTGAAATTGAGGTCCAGGGATTATTGGATGGAAAACAAGAGAAAGCATGAAAATAAATATTCCAAAGGGATAAAAATAAAAATAAAAATAAAAACCTCAAGGGGTGGGAGAGTTTAGCAGACTGGCTATTAAAATATATATATAAAATAGGTAAAAATAGACATTTTTAACAAATAAAATCCATCCCCATCATATTTGACTAGTATTTGTATTTGATTATTAACAATAAAGTCCTCCCCCATTCACTATTAATAAAAAACCTACTCATACTTAATTGTTACATTTACATTATACATAAATTGATATTGTAATAATTGGAAAATGCTAACAAAAATTAGGGTGTTTAAAATGATATTACCAACGTTTTTATATTTATTTCAAACTATTCCAGAAATCATTCCTAGTAAAATTTTGAAGAAATGGGATAGATCAGGGGTAGGCAACCTTTTTGAGCTGGGGGCCGGGTTGCTGTCCCTCAGACAATTGGCGGGCCGAAGCAAAATAATAAAATAATAAATATAATAAAAATAAAATAAAATAAAATTTAAAAATATGCATGCACACTCTCTCAGCCCCAGAAAAGCCATGATGGCAAAACCCCTGTGGAGATTTTGCCAAGAAAACCCCAAGAACAAATAATAACAACAATAATCAATATCATCATGGCGGGGGAGTCAGGACCAGCCTGGGCCGGTTCAAAGGACTCATGGGGCCGCATCCGGCCCCCCGGGCCACAGGTTGCCTACCCCTGGGATAGATCAATATTAAATAGATATCAGGAAATAAAAAAAGTAAGATTATCTAAGGCAGGGGTCGGCAACCTACGGCCTGTGGCTGGTTTTGTCACAGCTGCGCACACCGCCGTGCCACACATGCGTGCCATTTTGGAATGCACCACGCATGCGCACGACAGCGGGTGCCATTTTGGAATGCCATTTTGCATTCGCACGCAACGCAGAGCACCATTTCGGAAGGCCCAATGGCACCAGCGCCGTGTAAGCTGGCGCCGTTGGGCCTTCCAAAATGGCACCCCGCGTCATGCGCATGCCCTGTACCCCTAATCTAAGGCATTATATGAGCAACAAAAATTAGGAGAATGGGGGGTTCCATCACTTGAATTATATTTTGATGCAATTCAATTACTAAGAATAGTAGAGGTAGAATATAATCAAAATACAAAGTGGGTTAAATTAGAAAGACAGAGCAATAAAATGAAATTTATTTCTATCTTCCAGGGAGAAACATGGAGAAAGAAAGAAAAAGAGAAAATAATTGGTCCAATAATAATAATAGTAATAGTAATAATAATAATTATTTTTTATTTGTATCCCACCCCTCTGCTCAGCAATCGGGGCAGCGTACAGCAAAATTAAAAAACAACAACAATTAAAACACCTTTATCCCACACCCTAGTTCTCCCACCCCTTAAAACAGAATTAAACTACATTAGAATTAAAATCAGGCAACATAATTAAAATACTATAAAATCAATATTGGGTGACATGCCATGGCGGCAAGGGGGGTAAATGGTGGATCGCCTCCATTTAGCCGGGCAGTTGTTCCGGGAAGACCTGCTGGAAGAGATCTGTCTTTACTGCCTTTTTAAAGGCAGCAAGAGTGGTGATGAGACGGATCTCGTACGGCAGGCCATTCCACAGTCTGGGAGCGGTTGCAGAAAAGGCACTCTGGGAGGTCTGCAAAAGCCTGGTCTTGATAGGCTGCAGCAGATACCTTCCAGAGGACTGAAGTGCGCAGGGGGATCATACAGGGAGAGGCAAATTATAAAATATGATGGCAAATTATAAAATATGGGAGAAGTGGCGTAAAAGATTGGGAATAAAAAACTGGAAATAGTTACTAATAGAATATTTAAATAAGAGTAACAATGAAGATTTTGGGAAGATATTTAAAAAATTAAAGATCAAGGGATTTAAAATAATTGGAGACTTATATGATTCAATAGGGGTACAGATAAAGGAAGAATAATTAATTATATTAATTGGAAATCAGTATTGGATTAAAATAAAAGCGATAATAAAATTATTAGATGAAATAAAAGTGAATATTTTAAACCAGAATGAATTGTTAGAAGATGTAATTAAAAAAATTTATGGGGCGGGATCTCCAGTGTGCTAGCTGCACATACTGCTGGAGACAATTAGGCTCAAAATTACTCAACTCTACCACTGCTTGGAATCATATTGTAAAATGACCATCATCCCCTGTTGGTTCGGGCTCTAAGGACCTTATCAAACGCTGGCCACAAAGCGAAAGGTAAGTGAAAACTT